CCAGAAGCTTCAATATTGTTTAATTAATATTTTTCAAATAAAACTTTTGTTATAATTTAACTCACTCTTAATTTCCTTACCATCTTTTCTACAGCACTTTCGATTTTTATACCCTGCACTTCGTGAAGGGTATATTAACTTTGGTATGGAGTTTGTAACTACTTGAAGGAGTCATCTGCGGTATGGACATATATATATATTCTTGCTCAGCGTAAAATTCTGCGTCGATTTAGACATGTCCGTCTGTCCGTCCGTCCGTCCGTCCGTCCGTCCGTTCGCACGATAACTCAAAAACGAATAATGCAATCGACACCAAACTTTCACAAGTTTTTTCTTTTGTGCCAAGGACGAGCCCTATTGTTATTGGACTGATTCGGACAACGGGTTCGGGTAGCTGCCATACAACTCAAAGAGTTTATTTTAAATATTTCAAAAACTAATAAAGCTATAAATATAAAACTTTGTATACATGTGTCCAATTATATTCTACACATGCTCTAAAAATTATAATGGGATAGCTGCACCGGTTCGGGTGGCTGCCATACAACTCCAACAGCAAATTTTTTATATTCGGCAAAATAATAAAGTCAGATTCATGAAACTTGGCAGTCATGTGTCCAATTATAGGTCAAATATACTTCTGAAGTTTTAGAGGAATTGCTTTACAGGTTCGGGTACCTGCCATACAACTCCAGAAGCTAATTTTAAATATTTGGAAAAATAATAAAGTCAGATTCATGAAACTTGGCAGTTGGATGTCCGATTATAGATCAGATATATTTGTGAAGTTTTAGAGGAATTGCTTGACAGGTTCGGGTACCTGCCATACAACTCCAGAAGCTAATTTTAAATATTTGGAAAAATAATAAAGTCAGATTGATGAAACCTGGCAGTTGTGTGTCCAATTATAGGTCAGACATATTTCTAAAGTTTTAATGGGATTGCTTGACAGGTTCGAGTAGCTCCCATACAAGTCTTAAAGCTTATTCTTAATATTTGGAAAAATAATAAAGTCAGATCCATGAAACTTGGCAGTTGTGTGTCCGATTATAGATCATACATATTTGTGAAGTTTTAGTGGAATTGCTTGACAGGTTCGGGGACTTGCCAAACAACTCCAAAAGCATATTTTAAATATTTGGAAAAATAATAAAGTCAGATTCATGATACTTGGCAGTTGTGTGTCCGATTGTAGATCAGATATATTTGTGAAGTTTTGATGGAATTGTTTGACAGGTTCAGGTACTTGCCATACAACTCCAAAAGCTAATTTTAAATATTTGGAAAAATTATAAAGTCAGATTCATGAAACTTGGCAGTCGGATGTCCAATTATAGGTCAGACATATCCGTGAAGTTTCTATAGAATGACTTCACAGGTTCGAGTAATTGCTACACAATAACGAAAGGTGCAGGGTATTATTCAATCGGTTTATACCGACTGAAACGTTTTTACTTGTTTTAATTCTTTTTCATAAAATATTCAGATAAAAAATTTAAAAAAAAAAAAACAAAATTCTTTATTCAATAATTATGTTGATAATATTAATATTAAACTTCATAAATTTCTCTTATTTTCTCGACAATACCCTTCAGTGCAATCATAATTGCCTTGACACCATTTTCCATACTATTTATTAAAATGATACTGGCATTGTATTGCATTGTTGTACAGTAGATTGTAGATTTTTAAGGGTACTGATTAGGGAAGAGGATGTCCCAAGGGCCAACGCTGCCATTCGCGGCTTATTGAAATCTCCCGACATTCCCGCCTATAATAAGTATAAGGCTGGAAAAAACAATAGCAACCCTAGACGGCCGTTCAACGAAATATGCACAGAGAGAACCTGAGCCGATCCCATGTCCATCGATCGATAAACAGAACACTGTACCTTGTTGTACACTAAATATCTAGAGAAGTTGGAATATTTTTAATTTTTCACATTCTTTTTTATCGATTCGTTAGTTTCGTTCATTATTTTTGTGTTAATATTGTTAATTATTCTTTAATTTATTCAGATAATGCAGATTTAAAATATATAGGCGATTCCAAAGTGTTTACTATTTAAGATCTTTTCATTTGTAGATTTTACTAAAACATTTTGTAAAATTTTATATGACTCAAACTAATTTTTTATTAAATTATTCTATGACCTTTGTATTCCAAACAATTTCATGTATACAATATGCAAAAATTTAAGTGCTGAGTAAAATCCAGGGCAAATATTAAATTACTGTAGGCGTATACACCCTGCAAAATGCTTAAAAAAATTTAAGGTATCAAAATAATTTGACTAAACGGACTAATCAACGACCATTTTTGTAGCAGTTTATGGATACATAATAGCGTTTTCAATATTAATTAAATATATTTTTACCGGTTATGGCTTTTTTAATAACAGAACATTAAGAAACATGCGTCAGTTTTAGGCTAACACGCCTTTTACTGTGAAAAAAATTTGAATAATATATTAAATTTCCTCCACCAAATTTTTTAAATATTTGCAACGATATTTGCCTATAATTAAACAGACATAAACCTTTTATAACTAAAAATCATTTTTGCTCTTTTACTTTTTGATTTAAATATCTTTTTTTGTTCTTAATTGGAAAAATTTACTTTTTTTGCATAATTTTTTTTTTTAATGAAGCTGCTATTTGTGAAAAATCTATAGAAAGTTTTTGTCACAAATAATCAAGTAAAATGAAATTGCTGAGAGTTAAAAGTTAAAAAATTAATAATATTAATGATTTTTAAAATTTGATCTTAGCATAGGTGTGCTCAGAATTTTGAATATTTAACATAAATTTATAGTAGTTAGCTACTTTTTTTAACACTACAAAATACTATTACTCTACAAAATACTAGAGAGATCAAACAAATGTTGGTGATGTGGTATGGGTACAATCGACAATACATGCAAACGATATTCACAATATAAGTTGGATAATATCTTATGAGCCATTTTGGACATAATTAAACTACGTGGTCTGGTATATCTTTTAATGAAATGAAAAAGCTCTAAAAATATAAAACGACAGCATAGTAAAATCGACAATTTTTGCGTAAAGCTACACCACAGAATTTTGTTCAAAATGTCGTATTAAATTCGTTTAACACTTTAAAAAACTTTGAGAACTGGGCTGTTTTTCCCTCAATTTACATCTGTAAAATAAGTATTTTAATCATGAATTTTAAGCTAGTCATCCCCATTTTTCAAACAGTTTGAAATTTTTACATTTCTCGAAAATATTTTTATGAAATTTAGCAAAAAAAAACGACAACAGGTCACAACAAATTTATGATTTTTTAAGGAACACCTCTAACTCTGCAGAACTCAAACTAGTAGATTTATTAGAAATCTGCAAACCACTAGTTGGATTCGAATATATTCCAATTCCAATTTATTTATTTCTTATAAAACTTCATAGAAGACCCAACATTAAAGAACTTTCATCATTAATTTAAAATTTTGAAATTTATAAAATTGAAAGAAAAGTTGTAATTGCGTATTTGTGCATAAATACAAATAATTAAAGGAAAATCATCAGAAAGTCAAATTAAAACTAAAGTAATTGAAAGAAAAGCAAATATAAAATTTTTTCAAAGATCCGTTATTCATTTTTCCAAAGATCCGTTATCAATATTATAATCAATATCATCAATATCATTTATCATTGTTTGTATTTATTACATAAATAACTTTGATTCTTTAATTTTTGCGGATATATTAATAAATTTGTACAATTTACCCACATCGCGCAACTAAAAGCGATTATTTTTTATTTCTATTTATTTATTCGATTCCTGACTTTTTAATTCTAAAAATATCGATTTGATGATAAGTATAATTTGTTTTGGTTTTCTTCATCTTATTTTTTTGTTTGCTTTTGATATAGTAAAAAAAAACTCAAAGGAATTCTTACAAAATTAGAATTCAAATCATAGATTGAAGAATAGATACACGCTTTCAATGTAGACATATTCATTTCAGAAAATTTTTTGTATAACTATATAAAGAAATAAATGTATAATGCGTGTGCTAACCAGTGACGTTGTTCTGTCATAAGTGTTTCTTAAAATGGTCCGCGGCATAAAAAGTTCCTCACAAATTAAAGCTTTAGCAAAATTAAAATAATCGTGCATTTTCGATCGTGTTTTAATATTTTTCTTGTTTTTAAATCACCTTATATTTTCGAAACCGCAAACAGTTTTAAATTTCTATAACGGTAAATTCTATGTTATTAAAAATATAACCATTTTTCTTAACTCAACCAATAAATCTTAAAATCGAGCATTATGTTTATCCCTCGTTATATTAATTTTTGCTTTATTTCAGACTGCATAAATCGTTCATCCTAAATGTATGCAATCCCAGAAATAGTTTCGTTTATGCAGGAAAAATATAATTTAATAAGTATAGTAGGTATACATAGATTATTTTAGAAATTATTATAAAAGCAGTATTTTCACTTGTTGAAGGGAAAAGTGCTACATTACAAACCATTGGTTTGAACCAATTTTATTAAAAGATAGTCGTACATCTGGTTTTTTTGTCGAAACATTCTCAAGAAAGCTATTTTTTCCATTTAAAATATTTCAAAGAAAACAATACAACATTATGTGTATAATTCATTAAACACATGTTGCATCAAACTTATTGAAAGTTTTTGAATATCGAGGAACATCACTGTTAAAGAAAATAAAAGTACAAACATAGTTTTTAGCATTCTAATCTTAGAGAAACTTTAACTCTTATTGTATAAATAGTTTATACAAGAACAAATCTGCTTATTTATATTCTATGCAGCATATCGTATACAAACATATATTCATATTATAGTTGATACTTTAACTATTTCAAGGAGGTAAATTGTCAATGGTGGGATTTAAGATGTCAACTACCAAAAAATCAAAAACACAAAAAAATAACAAAAGCATTTATGGAAATGAAAAGCCTTTATTTGGCATTAAGAAATTTTTGTATATAAATTGCTGTTAGAACTGATTTTCGATATCAGTGTTCCTTTAAGCGTTCAAAAACCAATTTCAAAAATTTCAAAAAAATTTTTTTTGATAAAAATGTTCAAATTATTCGGTGTAAGGATTTTAATTTATTTTTAATGAAATAAAAAAAAAATATTTAATTTTCTTTAAATAAAAATTAAATGGAAATTTCTTTTTTAATCATCTCAAAGTTTTTGGTTGTGCTAGCACTTTTTGCAGTAGCAATTGCATTACCATCAGCAAGTCCAATTGCAGGACCATCTCCAGTTGCTAATCCTCAGTTCTACTATGGATCACCATACGCTTACGGTTATGGTGGCTATCCATATGCATATTCTTATTATGGATAAAAATTTTCTGAACTACAAAGCACAACAACGACAATAAAAATGAAAAGACCGGCGATTGAGAACTCATTGATAAGGTACAACAGTAAGATAAAAATAAAGTTGAAAACTAAAAGAACAAAATATTCAAAATTTATTGTAAATTTTTTTTAATTATTTTTTTTTTTTGATAATTAAAATGTGTATATAAAATGCAAATGCAGGTGTTTTAATATTTTCAATTTTTATACAAAGCAAAATTATTTAAGTTTTAAAGTAGCCGGTAGGGTAAAATTACACCTTTTTTGTTAGAACATCGCCACAAGCTTTGACTTTTATTTCAAATTATTGTGGCATGACTTCATGACAGTTGTATGTCAAAGTTTATAAATTCCTATTCAGTATCATCATAATGTGACATCGTAGCTCCAATATTTTTTGTGCTATTGAATCCATAAAAAATCTGGTGTGATCAACACATAACCGACTGCAAGATGTATTATCAAGTTTAACGAATGTGTTACAGAAGATTATGAAAATTCCTTTGAAAGACTTCTTTTCGATTTTAAGGAAGTTAATAAGTTTTAGTTAATATACCTAGAAAAATTTAAATTTAGCTCTAAGTAGAGTTCCGCTTAGTACCCGAATTCTCTGAAAAGTTTACCAGTTTCAGGTAAACTTTTCAGGTAATTCGGAATCAGAACTTAAATATCCAATTTTAAGAAATTCCATCAATTCGTTCCTTAGATATGTTAAAAAATGTTTATTTATCTGATTTTTATTTTAAAATTATTAAGAAAATTTCATCAAAATCGGTTGACCCGAACCTGAGATACACACGTCCACGCACCGCAGACCGATCGACCGACAGGCCTACATCTCTCTAAAAATAGTTTATTTCCGCTTTCCTATCGTAGAGAAGTTCGTCTAAAACGATGAAAAATAGAAAACTTGTAAACTTCGTGATATACAATATACCAATGTTTTTTAAGAGCTATATGATCGCAACGCAAGCGTTCTTCTACAGATCTTATTTACATTTCTGTAAAATGTATCATTTGAGCAACAACTGCATGCAAATTAATGAAACATTTGCCCTACAGCAAAACTTCTTTATAGCAATTTTGAATACTCTAAGCTATTTAGCTTGAAATTTGAACTTAACTATTTTTACAGTGTTCTAGCAACTATTGTAAGAACCAGGAAAAAAATTTATTTGTATTTTACGTTTAGTTTACAACACTATGTGGGGCGATTAATTGAGGAAAAAGTGTCGAGCAACACATTACTCTAACTTCAACAGGTTGTGGATATTTTCTACAAAAAAATTTTTTTAATCTGATTTTTTTTTTTTTCTCGAAAGCTTTGCACCAAATTGTGCCTTATAAGTTTCTTTTTCAAATTTAATGAAAGCTAGAAATCTTTTAGTTAATATACCTCCAATAACGAAAATTTGGTTCCTTTTAATTCACCTTCTGTTTTCTGATTTACTTGAAGAGTAAAATTTATGTAGCTGTCACCCAATTTAATTGAAAATTTTCATGGCTCGTCGGACTATCGCAGATTTTAATTTGTTTTCAGATTAAATTCTAAACAGGAATTCATATGTTAAATTCCAAGAAAATGCAGTTTTTTTCTTAAAAGGAGTTAGATAGTTCAAATCAGCCCATAATAAAAGTAATTGTAGTAAAATATAGTAATTCCCGAAACATGAAATTCCCTTACAATTTTATCAATCCGTTTCTTGATAGCCGTCTGTTTCTGAAAATACTACTTGTTTTTAAGCTAAAATTATGAAAAATAGTAAACTATTTTTAAGAGTTTATTCCTTTATTAAACTTTTATTTTTTTGTTACAATATCACATTATCCAGTCATTTAAGCCTTTAATTCATACGGATATTCACATTATTCAATACCACTATGTTGCTTAGTAATAAGAATAATATGAAGCTGCATAAGGATATCCTGCATATCCTGGATAAGCAGCATAAGCACCGGAATAAGCATATGGTGATGAATAGAAGAATTGTGGTTTGGGTGCCGGAACTGGTTTTGGTTCTGGTGCAGGATTGGCAAAAGCTAAAGCAAATAAGGCAAATATGGCAAAAACCTAAATAACAAAAATTTAATTTAAATTACTTTTAAATTTTGATTTTAAAATTTGAAGAAAAATTATACTCACATTTAATAACTTGAACATTTTGAGTTTTTGTGTAAGTTTCTTGGATTTGTAGAAACACTGCTGAAGAATATTCAACTGATACAAAATGAAAATTTTCATGTGCTTTTATATACAAAAAATTATTTTTCGCTGTTGTGCATTTAAATTCATCTTTGCACTTTACTTTTCGCCAATGAAAATTTTTATTCTTTTTTTTTATATTTTTTTTATCATACTTTTTTTTTTGCATATTAACCTTCAAATAGTTTCGCGCCTACAAAATACTGAGTATTGAAATGCCAATTTTTAATTTTTTTTCTTTGTTTTCATAGCGAAATTTTACAATAACTTTAACAACTTTTGAATAATTTAATAGTGAACGTTATTAGAACTTCATAAAATATAACTTTTTTTTTGGAAACTACAATCACTTAATACAGCTATAATTTCAATGAAGTATTTTGAAATGTAAGAAACTGTGTACGAATGAATCTGCAGCGAAAGTTCGCAAAAATTTACCTTTCCATTTTTGAAAATACCAAAATCGTGAAAATCGCAATACATAGTAAGGCCCCTGTTCTTTACTAATTCCAGAATTTATAAAAGTGTTTGTTAATTATATTCGAAAATCAAGTATTTTAGCAAATATTTTCTCTTACTATAAGTACATAAGTTATAGTCCTAATGCATGGAATATATTTCTCAATTACCAAATACAACAATTAAAAATCACAATACGAAAATTACAGTAACTATTTACAAAGAACAAAGTTTACTGTGTCAACACCTTTTTATGCGAATAAATGATTTTGGGAGTCGTATGCAAACTTCCACGCAGTCTTATGCAACTAAAATTTTCCCAGTATAATTTTTGCTATTCTCGTTTAAATTTGGCCTAAATATTTATCAAAATAATATAATGAAATAGTTTCCCAACTTTTTTCCAAGCAAACAGTGGTGCTATCCATTTATTTGTCCGAAACTTCAGCGTTAGTGTTCGTTTTTTAGCACTTTGCCAAAAAATTTTCAAAAAAAGTACTTATTAGTTTCACTTTGCCCGTCCGTCCGTCCGTGGACATGTTTACAAAACTTCTACACCCTTGAAGACAGAAAGCTGAAATTTTATATGTACATAGATCTTTACTAGGAACTTCTTTCCGTAGAAGACAATTTTTAATCATCCCCCTCCCCCCACCTTTAGAAGTTATACCCCCCAAAAACCATTAAAAATGCCATTTTTTAACTATTTATTGCAGTGAAACCATAGGTATTTTTCAAATTTTGCAAACACAGAAAGGCAGTGGCTTGCTTCTCCTATCTCGGCATACTCTAGTTAAATTTAAAAAAAAAACAAAATGGCCGTTCACATATACCGTTATCTAAAATCCGTTTTTTCTAAATTTTTGATGTCGTTTTTCTTCTAGACGCCAGGTTGTAGGACCCTGAAATTTTAAAAACTTTTAGACAATAACAAATAGTTCATTTCGTTGGAAGAAAATTTTTTTCCATCTCCACCCCCTCTCGAGTTATCGCCTCTTGAAATTTGTAAAATTTGAATTTTTGACGCGTTATATTTCCGGAACCACAAGCTTTTCCAAATTTCTAAAAATGTGAAAACCTAACGATAAATTCCATAACATTAAAAAATATAATAATTTTTCTTGACTCACGCAATTAAACCTTAAAATCCAGCATTATTTTAATCTTTTTTAAATTTATTTTTTCTTTATTTCAAAAACTGCATAAATCATTCATCCTAAATATATGCAATTCTAGAAATACTTTCGTATATGAATGAAAATAATTGTGTCAAACCAATGGTTTGTAATGTAGCACTTTTCTCTCCGAAAATTGTTAAAAACAATCCATGTACATACTACATTATTAAAATTATTTAAATTCATATACGAATAAATTTGAAAAATTGCATACATTTAGCATGAGCAATGTAAATAACCTTTGAAATAAAACAAAAAAATATTGTAAAAAGTGCTAACATAATGCTCAAATTTAAGAGTTAATTACGTGAGTTAAGAAAAATAATTATATTGGTGTTTACCTTCAGCTTTCTGAATATATAGAAATTTGTAAAAGCTAGCAGTTGCCGAAATATAAGTTTCCAAAAATTCAAATTTTCTAAATTTCAAGAGGCAATAACTAGAGTAGGGTTGGAGTTGAAAAAAAAATTCTTCCAATGACTAACTAATAAGCACTTTTATGGTTTTTTGACAGCACTGGTAAAGTTTAGCATATTTTTACCTTATTTAACTTAACTTGTAATTGAAAATAGTTCTTATGCATGTTTAGAAATCAAAATCAAAATTTGCACTTATTAATATTTCTTGTAAATGAGTGATTTGGAAAAATATCAAAATTTTCTTAATATTGAAATATTATTTTTAATTTCATATTATATTGAATTATTTCCAATTTTCATATTACTCCCATTATATTTTGCGAAATGAACTGAAAAAATAATAATTATGAATTCAAGGCACAAAAAAATTTTATTGACACCCAAAAACACTTAATTCGTGCTCAAGACTGAGTATCGTGTTCTAATTTTATTATTATATTTTAATATACTTATACATTTAGTATTATTGCGAAGGTTTTATGCAGATTATCGTAATTTATTTTAACTAAATTACTAATTAATTGACAGTAATATAATCACAGAATATTGCATTTACTATATAAACGCAAAAGTTTTAAAAATATAGTATTAGTTTGCAAATTAATTTCGTACTAAAATCACTAACACAAAAAATATTCATCAAAATGTTCAAATATTTCACAGTAAGTAACTAAAATTATTCATTAAGTAATTTAAAATAAGACAAGAACAAAAATAATTTTATTCTAACTCTTTCTTACAGATTTTTGCTATTCTTGCCTTCGTTGCTGTAGCTTTTGCTAATCCAGCACCAGAACCAAAACCAGTTCCAGCACCAAAACCACAATTCTTCTATTCATCACCATATGCTTATTCCGGTGCTTATGCTGCTTATCCATATGCAGGATATCCTTATGCAGCCTCATATTATTCGTACTTT